TATATATATCCAAGAATGATGAGAACAAAATGACAGATTTCAGTTGTAAACGTTGTATATTATATATAACTACAATTACACCGCAATTCAAAATAACCTCTGAATAATTAGATACATACTACTACACCTAGATACATATACTTGCAAAACCATGTATACATAAGCTGCGTTCACACGATATTCACGGCCTCGCTGGTTCCGTACTTATCTGGTGCTGAATTCGGCTGAAATACCGCGCTAACACAACTCAAGGAAATACACGAGATTCGAGGCTTAGCTGGCTAGGTATAATATAGACTGGTACCCGGTCGACAGTTCCACACGCTACACTAACGTCGTGTTACGAACGGGTACCAGTCTAGGTAAGCGAACTACAGTTTTGCAATTCAAATGCGTTCACACGACAGACAATACGCGGCCAGCGTGGTGCCGAATATACGCGGCTTACTTGGCGCGGCATGATGTGATTCCGTGCCAAGTAAGCCGCGTATTTCAGTACGGTACTGAATAAGCTGCGTATATTTTTAGCGTGTGAACGCTCAAGTACGGTACTGAAATCCTCGTGTGAATGCAGCTATGTACACAAATAGGTAGCACGTCTTTGAAAACCAGTAAAATTCGGATAGGCACAACAAATCTTAAATTGCCTACAATAACTGTCGCAAAGACACCCGACATTAATAAAAATCTAACAGATTTTTGTAAACACACTGGGAGACTAGGTGACAACTCAATAACACTGTGAATATACTTGAATATTCTCTACTGGCTCATTTTCAGTACTTGGTAGAACTTTTAGTTGTAATAAGAAGTTGTATGGGCCAAAAACTGAAAGATCGTATTCACTACTTATTTCTTGAGCATTATGTCAAGCTGACACTGGGGTTGGTCATTGCCAGTGTTTTTTACATCCCCAGCGGTTCTGCTAAGACACTGTCACATAGACGCATACAGAACACGGAATTGCCTAGTATCTTTAGGAATCTTTAAAAAATCCAACACTTATCGTCGCACATGCCGGGTGATTAGGTGGCAACTCGAGAAAACTGAGAATCTTCCGGACGACTCTCTGCCAACACGCTCCGTCACGTAGACACCCGCTCTGTTATGTAGAGACACACACTGTGTCACACAGGGACAAGATGTCACACAGAGACATGCTCTGTCACGTAGCAAGACGCTCTATCACGTAGACACCTGCTCTGTTATTTAGAGACACGCTCTGTCACATTGACACACGTTGTGTCACACAGGGACAGGTTGTCACATAGAGACATGCTATGTCACGTAGCAAGACGTTCTATCACATAGAGATGCACTCTGTCACGTAAGGACACGTTCTATTGAAGACCGTGAATCTTTAGAACGACTCTCCGCAACACGATCTGTCACCTAGCGACGCGGCATCATCACCTAGCGACGCGGCGTCGTCACCACACCTGCTCGGCGTCGTCACCACACCTGCGCGGCGTCGTCACCATACCTGCCCGGCATCGTCACCACACCTGCTCGGCGTCGTCACCACACTGCCTCCCATATCAATACGTCCCGCCTCGCTCGGTAGATGGCCCTGCCGACGGATACGCGGGACCAGCAGCCGCTCCCAGCCTCCCATATCAATACGTCCCACCTCACTTGGTAGATGGCGCCGCCGCTCCCAACCTCCCATCTCAATACGGCCCGCCTCGCTCGGTAGATGGCGCGGGCGACTATGCGAGACAAGCTGTCGCTCCCAACATCCCATCTCAATACATCCCGCCTCACTCGGTAGATGGCGCCGCCGCTCCCAACCTCCCATCTCAATACATCCCGCCTCGCTCGGTAGATGGCGCCGCTGCTCCCAACCTCCCATCTCAATACATCCCGCCTCGCTCGGTAGATGGCGCCAGCAGCGGCTACGCGGGCACGCTGTCGATCGTTCCGCGCGGTCGCCTCGGCAACCAGATGTTCCAGTACGCCGCGCTGTACGGGCTGGCCGCCGCGACTGGCCTCGCCCCGTTCATCTCTCCGCACATGAACATCAGCCGCGTGTTCGAGCTGTCGCTGCCCGTGCGCGATCCTCCGCCGAAGACGTCGCGAGACGACATACGCGTCGTCTGGAAGGCGTTCGACTCCGCGCTGTTCCGGCTGCAGCCGCAGCGCGACTACGTGCTGCTGATGGGATACACGAACTCGTGGCTCTACTTCGACCACGTGCGCGAACGCGTGCGCCGCGAGTTCACGTTCGCGCCGGCGATCCGCGACCGCGCGTGCGCCTTCCTCGCCGCGCAGCGCCCCCTGGCGAGCGGGGAACCGGCGACGTACGTCGGCGTGCACGTGCGAGCGGACGACTATCGGAAGTGGCTGGCGAACAACCGCGGGCTGGGTGCGGACGAGCGGTACGTGCACGCGGCGATGGACTACTTCCGCGGCAGGTACGCCAACGCCCTCTTCGTCGTCTGCAGCGACGACATCGACTGGTGCAAGCGCCACCTGGCGACCGATCGCGGCGACGCCGTCTTCAGCGACGTCGGCCACGCGGCCGAGGTCGATCTGGCGGTGCTGTCCAGCTGCAACCACACGATCATGACGCAGGGCAGCTTCGGCTGGTGGGCGGGATACCTCGCCGGTGGCGAAACTCTCTACTTCTCCGATTACTTCCAGCCGGACGCGAGGCAGATCAAGCTGGGCTTCAAGTACGAGTACAAGTACCCGCCGCACTGGAAGTACATAGCTCCGAGTGCACTGCCATCTAGCGACGACATTAGCAAGCATAACCTCGGACAATAGTGGTTTATTTTCTTGGTTGATGTGATAAGATCTGAGCAAGTCATCAGTTTTTATTGATGGTCTGACCATGTATGTGTACTTATATAACACGACATGTATGTGTATGTATAATGTATGTATGATGTACTTATATATCGGTGTTCAGGGAAAGCGGCAGCTAGACAATCTCTGAAACAGAAGGGAAAGGAATCTGGTTTCTCCTCTTAGCAATACAATCATATAACTTTATGTGACTGACGATTTGTTTTGTTTTGGGTATGTTCTTTTTTCATGGAATTGATACACTGCGGAAAGAGATAGTTGTACGAGATCCTCAATCAACCAGAAAATTCTAACATGTGCG